ACTCCCAGTCGAACTCCTGGTTGAGGGGATAATTTGCATATTAGCCTTTTATTATATAGGATTTAGTAAAATCATTTGGCAAAATTGATATAGCCCAAAACAAGTTTGTTGAAGTGATGATTTGATTGGAAAAGAATATCCCCAGAAACACTGCCATTTTTTAGAATTTGAGGTGTTTCCCCTCGCCTTTTTTACTCTGTGTAGCTAGTTTTCATCCAATTATTCCTACTCTGTGTGTTTAGAACATCAAACATTTTGAAACAATCTAAATATTTAACCATTTAGAGGCAACTGAAGCCTACACACAGCTCCAATAATAAAGAATTGGGTTTTGTTTTTTGAGAGAGAGAGAGAGAGAGAGAGAGAGAGAGAGAGAGAGAGAGAGATATGTGAGAGAGAAACATTGATCAGTTGCCTCCTGTATGTGCCTGGACTGGGGAGTGAACCCACAACCTGGGCATGTGCCCTCATTAGGAATGTAGCCCGACACCTTTTGGGGTACCAGATGCTTCAACCAACTGAGCCACACTATCCAGGGCAATAAGAATTGTTTAAACAAATTGTAAAGGGTTATAAAATGTATGTATAGTATGCATAAATGTTATATGCAGTGACCTTATAATAATTTATTTTGAGCAATTTGCAAGATATGTAAAGTCATGAAAACATTGCCAAACAAGGAGATCAGCTATAATTTAAAATAAATGATAAAAACTCCAAAATTCTAGATCTTGATTGTGTTATTTTGTGGTTTTATTTTACTTTTCTTATTACAAAACAATTGAAAATATTAGCACTATCCTCTAACCAAATGAGCTAACTGGCTAAGCACAATTCAAAATATGATAGAAAAGTGAGAAAAGGCAGACAAACACACAGACACAAACAATCCATAGCTCTCTGCTTAATACAGTTACTTCTAGATCTTCTAGTAAAAGTGGAATCATATGATGCATGCTATTTGAAAGCAACTCCATTGTATTTGTGCAATCCTCCACTGTTAAACATTTAGGTTGATTTAAAAAATCCTATATTTTTTGTACATTTAAGTTTTTATCCCATTTTTGCTATCAGGAGTAGCACAAAGCAATAATAACTAGATAAAACTGATTTGAAATAAAATAATAAAAGGTTTGGGCAACCCCCCCCCCATAGTTCTGAAAAATGGCTTAAATTTTTTTAATTAAAATTTTTTATTGTTGACACTATTACAAATGTCCCTTATTTCGCCCTCCCCTTTGCCTACATCTACCTTGACTCCACTATCTCTCTCTTTTCCCTCCCCAAACTATTGTCTGTGTCCATGGGCTGTGCATATATGTTTCTTAGCTAATCCCTTCACTGTCCTTTATCCAGTCACCTTCATCCCCCTCCCCTCTGACATCTGTCTGTCTGTTCCATGTCTCCATGCCTCTGATTCTATTTTGTTTTTCAGTTTATTTGTTCATTAGATTCCATATATTAGTGAGATCATATGGTATTTGTCTTTCTCTGACTGGCTTAATTTGCTTAGCATAATAATTTCCAGGTCCATCCATGCTGCCACAAAGAGTAAGAGTTCCTTCTGTGTAGTATTCCTTTGTGTAAATGTAATGCAGCTTTTATATCTATTCATATACTTGTGGGCACTTGGGCTGTTTCCAGATCTTGGCTATTGTAAATAATGCTGCTATGAACATAAGGTGCGTATATTATTTCTGATTGGTGTTATGGGATTCTTATGATATATATATATATACCCAGAAGTGGGATTGCTGCGTCAAAAGGCTGTTCCATTTTTAATTTTTTAAAGGAAAATCCATACTGTTTTCCACAGTGGCTGTACCAATCTGCATTCCCACCAACTAGGGTTCCCTTTTTTCCACATTCTCACTAGCACTTCTGGTAGGTGTGAGGTGATACCTCATTGTCATTTTAATTTACATCTCTCTGATGATTAGTGATGTTGCTTATTTTTCATATGTCTTTTGGCCATCTGTATGTCCTCTTTGGAGAAGTGTTTATCCAGGTCCTTTGCCCATTTTTGGATTGTTTGTCTTCCTGGTGTTAAGTTGTATTAGTTTTTTATATATTTTGGGGATTAACCCCTTATCAATGAATAATTGGTGAATATGTTCTCCCATATGCACTAACCACCAATACACTAACCACCCCCCGATGCACTAACACTCTGTACAAACCAGCACTAGTGAGCAGGGATATTCATCTTTAAACAAATGACCTGCCCAAGATGATGAATTTCCCTCCAAATCAGGTCTTTTGAATAAGAACAGACAGATGCAACTTGCTGTCTGTAAACTAGCAGGAACAGATCTGAGACTGTATTATTTTCTCACCTAGGGATAAGAAATGGGCTGCTCTTTATACTTTACTAGAGGCCTAGTGCATGACATTTGTGTATGGATAGGGTCCCTAGAGGCTGCCAGCTGCCGGCCCGCTGGGTTCTCCCTTCCCAGGGTTGGTTGGCCCCGCCCCTGGTTGAAATCCCAGTAGAACTCCTGGTCAAGGGGACAGATTTGCATATCAGGCTTTTATGATATAGGTTTATATAGGATAACCAGGATCATATTACCAAGTAATAAATTTAATAATTTGGATCTCTTCTACTTAAAAAATATTAGGTATCCTCTGCTCTGTTAGCTCTTTATCCATTTTACCAATACCACATTGTCTTGATTACTGTAACTTTATAATTAGTCTCAAAATTAGAAGTGTTGTTCTTCGAATTCCATTCTTTTTCAATTTTTTTGGTTATACTACATCTTTTGCATTTTCTTTTTTTTATCTTTTGCATTTTCATGTGAATTTTGGAATCAGTTTGTTAATTTCTACAATAAAGCCTGCTGGAATATTGATTTGTGGAGAATTGCCACCTTAATGATATTGATTTGCCCATTCCATGAACATGGTATATTTCCCCATTTGTTAGATCTTTAAATTTCTCTCAGCAATAGTTTGTAGGTTTCAGTGTACAGGTGATCTTTTCTAGTCTTTTTTTTCTTTTCTAGTCTTTTGTCACATTTATCACTAAGTATTTCACACTTTTTGATGCTATAGCAAATTATACATTTTTTAAAAATTTCATTTTCCAATTGCTTATTGCTAATATATAGAGCTACAATTGATATTTGTATTATGGTGTTTTGTCTTCTGCAAGCAATCCAAACATAAAGGGACAGCTGATGTTTTGTGTGTGTTTTTTTAAAGTTATAATATCAATTCAGCAGAGATAATCTTTTCAACAAATGGTGCTGGGACAATTGGATAGTTATATACAAAAGCAAACAAATAAACAAACAAAATAAAAAGAGACCAAACCAAAACAATACTGCTATTGGGAATGCAAAATAGTACAATTACTTTGAAAAATGGTTTGTCAGTTTTTTTAAAAAAATTAAACATCATGTGTCATATGATCCAGCCACTCCTAGTCATTTTCTCTACTAAAGAGAAATAAATGCCTATGTCCACACAAGAACCTAAATGTGAATGTTCAAAGCAGCTCTATATGTAATAGCCCCAAACCAAAACAATGTAAATGTCCATGTAACACGTGAATGCGTAAACAAACTGTGTGATATCCATGCAATGGAATAGTACTCAGCAATAAAAAGAAAGGAACTATTGATACAAGTTACAGTGTGGATGGATTCTTAGAATAGTTACAATGAAAGGAAGAATCCAGGCAAGAAAGAGCATATACTATGGTTGCATTTATATAAAATTCTAGAAGATATAACAAATTAATAGTGACAGAAAGCAGATGGTGTTTGCCTGGGTGACAGAGCCCTTTGGGAGGTAAGGAGTATGAAGGACATGAAGAAACTTCTGCTAATGATGATTATGTTTATTCTCTTGATTGTGGTGATTGATTCATGAGTGTACACATTTAACTTTAAATTTATCAAATTGTTCAATTTAAATGTATGCAGTTTATCTGTCAATTATCCCTCAGTAAAGCCGTTGAAGAAAAACTAAGAGACATGAGGAGTTATCAGATGGCAGCAAGAACCTTGTGAGGTTAAAGAGCAATGCTGTAGTTGATGAGCTTTAAAAACCTTGACTGCAGTTTTGCTCTCTGCACTTTGACAGCTCATTTTTGCTGGGTTCTGACTAAAGCTGTATTTCCTTTCACACTGCAATCGAGTTGCCCCAGGCCACTGGCTGTCTCCTACATCTCCTCAGGGGTCATGCAGGACACTGGTTAGCCAGGTGGGAGGACCTGAACAATCACCAACATAACTCACATTCTCAGATATGGGAGAAGTCCAAACATAGCCTTCTGAAAGCAAAACTTCATGGAATCCACAGAGCTATGGCGTTAACACCAACCCAGCCAGGATGGATGGCTCTGATCAAGTACTGGCTAGACTGGTCTGACTGACTGACTGGATGTAAATGATTGGGAGGCTTGCCTTAAACACACACACACACACACACACACACACACACACACACACACACGAGGGGGAAGGAAGTAAGAGATATTATGGATTTACTAATCCCTGAGGAGCCCATGGGTGCCTTTCAGTGGGTCCATGACCCCAAAATCATATGCAAGTTTTGTAAGTATATGTATTTATGCTTTTTTTTTTTTTTTCTGGGGAGAGAGTACATAGCTTTCATCAGACCCCTCAAAGCCCTCCCAGACTAAAAGATTAAGAAGAGCCATCGTGGATAAATCCACACATCTATTATTTCTTCTTCCTCCTCTGTATCTCCCAGGAGAAAAATGTATTCGTCACTTATTCTGTGCTTTCCACTGAGATTACATCTATGCGACCTCCACCAAGCCATCACCAACGATTTCATTTCTTCGCCTTTGCCTGGGAGCACTTACTCCATGCTGCCCCACGATCCTGCGCCCTGGCACAGTTCCCAGCTGCTTAGGAATTGGAGTTGTTTCCAGGTTCCCAGATGTGCAATCTGGCCGACGCCTTTTCTCTCCCCAGGGACGCAGTCCCTAACCGATCCTGCTACTACCCACGCGTGTTACTTGCTTTTGTCTGAGGGTATTGATGGGGTCGTCTTCCCCGGTCTCTGCGGGGACTGCCTGCTTTGCAACATTTGTACAGCTTTCCTTCTGGGGCTAGGAGAACCGCGCTCATGGTTTCTCGAAATTGCTGTAAAACTCCAACTCGGATACCCCATTGCAAGCCCCGGGTTTCCCCCTTTGCCTTGGAAATCGGGAAGAAGTTGTATTAAAAGCCTGGCCTCGCAGCTCCCTCCCTTGGGGGTGGGTCGGGGCGCAGAGACTGGCGCTCTGCTCCTAGCCACTGCTCCCTCCACGTGCTCCCCGCAAGCGGGTGCCGCGCCCCCTCCCTGGCCGGCGTTCACCCTTTCCTACCCCACCGATTCCCCGCCGCTGTAGGGGGAGAGCTCAGCGCAGTCCCCCTGCGGCTCCCGGGCCTCCTCCCACCGCCCCAAGGGCGCACGCCTTTCCCTACCCGGCGTCTGCGGCGGCCGGAGCAGCAGTAGCAGCAGCACGGGGAGTTCGATGGCCCAGCAGTCCCGGAGCGGGTGGCGGGCCATGGCCTCAACCTCGCCTGCGCCCTCGCCCTCGCCCTCGCCCTCGCCGGCACCTGCAGATGCCCAAGGGTCCGGGAGGAGGCAACGGGCACAGTTCTCGGGACTAGCCGCCCCGCGAGTCGCATTCGCTTTCGCTTTTACTTTAGCCCCCGGAGGGCTGGGGAGAGGTGAGAAGCGTGGCAGATCTGTGACTCAGCATCCCCTCTGGAAAAAGCCCCGGCAGCCGCAGGGGGTCCTAGTGCGGCCTCGGCAGTCCCTGGGGCAACGCGAACCCCGCAGAGCAGAGTCCCGGACCGACCGTCCCCTGCGGAGGACTGGATCCCTGCCCCGCTTCTCTCCTCACCTCTCATCCAAAAGCCCAGTGGGTCTCGGGTCCCAACGCATTGGGAGTGGGCAAAGCCATTGGGAAGCAAGGTCATTCGAGTAAACTCGGCCGGTGGGCGTTCACACCTGACTTCTGCTCCAGTCGTTGACCTTGTATAGCTTGTCTCCTCCTGTCGCTCCTACTTCACCTTCCGAGTTTCCCTTCATTCCTAGACCATGGGTTAGTCAAGTGGCTCTGGGCTCCCTCCACCAATCTGATCCAGTTATGGTGGGGGAACGAACCTCATTGGTGGGTGACCCTGGAGGTGTCGCCCCAGTGTGGCTGGCCGGGTCACGTGCAGGGAATCGCAGCCCATGCCACCTGTTCACGCCTGCTGGAGCCTTGTTTACTGGAAACTAGTGCAGTATCACAGTGAGGAAATTGACACTGACACAAATCATAGCCATATTCGAATTTTGTCAGTTTTCTGTGAATTCATTTGTATGTGTTTAGTTCTGTGCAGTTTTGTCAAACACACACACACAGTAGACAGATAAATAGATAGATGAGATCTGTAACCACCATTGCCAGGATCCCCCTCCCAGGATATTTACTGTTACTCTTATATAGCCACAGCCACCTTCCTCTCTCCCCTGTCCCTGAACCCTGGCAACCACTGATCTTTTTCTCCATCTCTATAATCTTGCCATGTGGAGAATGTCATGTAAATGTAACCATACAGTTTGTAACCTTTTGAGGTGGGCTTTTTCACTCAGTATAATTCCCTTGAGGTTCATTCAAGTTGCTGTCCTTTTTATGAGTAGTACTGATAGTTTCTTTTTTAAATGTATGAATCTCTGCCATCCATACCCAAATAGCTCTGCTTTCATATATGTACTAGTGGCCCAGTGCACGAATTCGTGCACATTGAAAGGAAATTAATTAGAAGAGCTATTTTAATATAGCTATTCGCTCTTTCTCTATAATAGAAGTGTCAACCAAATTCACGATCGACCATGTCAGATGAAAACACACACACACACACGTGCGATTGGTGCCAGTGAGAGCTTTATATGTATTGCACATGCATGAGTCAACTTAGCCTTTTTTATATATAGCATAAACTTGCTTAATTAGACCTGCTTTCTAATTTAGCTAAACTTTTTCCAGCCCAGTGAAGCACCCCAACTTCTCTTTCAGGTAATTGTCAGCAACACAGCAGTAAATATCAACATGAAGCAGATTATTATTGTAGATCACGCAGGGAGAACAAAGGGTAAAATATTAACCTGCAGCAGTGTTTGACTATATTCTGTGCAGTGAGAAAACCTGAAGTCATTTTCCAGGTCCACCATTTCTTCTTTTCAGTGGGGTCAAGTTTCTAAGCTTTCTAGATCACTGTTTTCTGGCTAGTGAAAAGAAAATAGGATTCCACCGAGTCTCCCATCTACCTACTCCAGGACTTCCGTGAGGATCAAATGAGATGAGGCACTGGAAAACGCTGCACAGACATTTGGTTAAAGTGTAAAATGTTTCCACCTGGCTATAAAGCAAGTCGTGTTCCTGGGCTGAAGAAACTGCAAGGAGGCTAGTCACTAGGAAGAGGAAGCCAGGCATTGCTACGTGACATCATTACCCAGATGGTCAGACACTTAGCATATTAATCATATATATATATGATTGCTGTAAAATCATATATATCCTAGTCCTAGTTTCCTAGGACTGCCACAACACAGTACCAAAAACAAGGTGGCTTAATCAAAAAATTAATAGAATTAATAAAAGAATTTGGTAAAGCTCAGCCATTGTGGCTCAGAGTTGAGCACTGACCCATGAACCAGGAGGTCATCGGTTGGATTCCTGATCAGGGTACATGCCCGGGTTTGGGGCACGATCACCAGTAGTGGTGTGCAAGAAGCAGTCAATGGATAAGATTTCTCTCTCATTGATGTTTCCGTTTCTCTATCCCTCTCACTTCCTTTCTTGCCAAAAATCAACAAAACTATTTTTTAAAATTCGGTAAAGAAGCAGGATACAAAATTAATATATAGAAATCTGTGGTGTTCCAATACACTTCATCAAAAAAGGATAAAATAGGAATAAACTTAACCAAGGAGGTGAAAGACCTCTACAAAACTATGAGACACTGAAGAAAAAATTGAAGAGGATGCAAATAATAAATGGGAGGATATACTGTGTTCTTAGATAAAATGGACTAATATTGTTAAAATGACCATATCACCGAAACTATTTATAGACTCAGTACAATTTCTATCAAAATACCAATGTCATTCTTCTCAAAACTAGAACAAGTAATCCAAAATTTATATGGAACCATACAAGTTCCTGAATAGCCAAAGCAATATTGAAAAAGAAGAAGAAAGTTGGAGGTATCAATCTTCCTGATCTCAAACTATACTACAAATCTATAGTAATCAAAATAGTGTTGTACTAGCACAAAAACAGACACATAGATCAATGGAACAGAATAACAATCCTAGAAATAAGTCTTCACTTTTATGGTCAGCCAATCTATGACAAAGGTCACTAATCTAAACACTGAAGTAATGACAGTCTTTTAAACTGGTGTTGGGAAACTGGACAGATACATGCAAAAAAGAAAGAAGAAAGAAAGAAAGGAAAGAAGAAAAAAAGAAGATAATTCTCTTATACCATAAACAAAATAAACTCAAAATGGGCTAACAACTTAGATGTAAGGCCTAAAACCATAAAACTCATAGAAGAAAACAAAGGAAGTAAACTATCTGACATCAGTCTGAGTAATATCTTTTGAACACATCCCCTTGAGCAAGGAAAACAAAAGTAAAACTAAGCAAATGGAACTACATCAAACTAAAAAGATGCTGTATAGTGAAGAAAACAAAACCCTCAACAAAACAAAAAGGCAAACTACTGACTGGGAGAATGTATTTGCAAATGATATGTCTGATAAGGAGTTGATATAAATATATAAGAAACCCATGCAACTCAATAACAACAACAAAAATTCACTACAATAAAAAAAATGGGGAGGGGACTGAAAGGGCGAGGACTACGCCCTCCACCTTGCCCCAGGGTAAGGGCTACGCCCTCCACCTTGCCCCAGGGTAAGGGCTACGCCCTCCACCTTGCCCCAGGGTAAGGGCTATGCCCTTCATCTTAACTTGGCCATGTGCTCAGCAAGCTTCTTCCCGGAAGATAGTCAAGGGAAGTGCACGCCATCACTATGACCACATCCTGTGTACTCGCGCCTGGCCAATCGGCAGGGCCCACAGTCCTTTCTCCTCCTCTTACCCCAAACCCCTATAAAACCTCTCTCCACACAGAGTTTTCTCTCTCTCGGCCACTGGGCTACCGTTGCATTGGTGAGTGTGGTCGGGGAGCCGAACTAGTTCGAAATGAGGGACTCTTTGCTTTTGCATCGGACTCGCTGGCTCCCTGATGGGCTTTTTGGGAATCTTGAAATCTGGGCACAACAGGGACATGAAAAGACATTCGTCCAAAGAGGACATACAGATAGCCAACAGACATATGAAAAGATGCTTAACATCACTAATCATCAGGGAAATGCAAATCAAAACCATAATGAGATACTACCTCACACCAGTCAGAATGGCTATTATCAAGTCAACAAATAATACGTGTTGGTGAGGATGTGGAGCAAAGGGAAACATCATGCCAAGATCTCCCATTGGATATGCAGTTTGGGAAGCTTATTGGATTCTGCTTTGATGTTGTCTCAAGCTGGCCACTGGGTGTATTGGTCCTGGGCCTCTTGGGAGGGACTCTTGTGTAGGCCAATGTCAGATGCTGTCTGTGCCTGGCCCTCGGCAACCTGTTTGGAGTTACAAGGGATCTAGTTTGTGGTTGCTTCCGTTGGGCTTGGGTGCAGTCCGAAAGGACCAAGCTGCACACCAAGGCCAGCTTGTTTCAGCACTGGGCCTGGGACAGGTCGGCACAAGTCCTAAAGCACCCTGAGACCCACCACGCCCTCCCTACCCTGCTGGCTGCCTATTGGGCTTAGTCACTGAAAGAGCCTCTGGCAGAGTAGGGAGAATAGGGCTAGTGGACCTCCCCGGAGGGCGAGGGGGTGGGTGTAGTTTTCACCCCAGAGCTACAAGACTCTGTCTCAGATTTTGCTCCAACCTTGGCAGGGTGAAGCCACTAAGAATCGTGTGTGTTGGTGCTGGTGGGGCCTCTGAAGCAGGGAGGTTGAGTCTGCCGGAAGCTGGGAGGGTGGTTTTAACTGATCTCCCATTGAGAATGAAGTGCCAGTCAGGTTCACAGGGAAAGTGGTGGGAATAGCCCCTGCCTCAAAGCCAGACAACTCAGTCACTGACACCCCCTGAGTCTGCCTAGACCTCTACACCCTAGCCAAGGCAGCTGACTCAAGGCAGGGCCTAAACTCCACAGTGTGGGGTGAGAGGGAGTCTAGAGGGTGGGGCAATTGGTCGTCCCTCTTCCTCCCCGCCCCTGCCCCCCGCCCCCCCGCCACACAAAGGGGAGTGCTCCACCCAAGAAAGATGGCATGGAAGAATGACTCAGCACAGAGATCCTGGCAGCTTTCCCTTCAGCTTTCTCACAGAACCACAAGCCCCACTTTCCTCACAAAACTCTAGTTCACTCCACCCTTCTTCCCCTAGAGCCCAGGGTGAGTGGCTGTGAACCAAATTTTGTGCATTGGCCCTTTAAGAGGGTGCCTGTGTCTACAGCTGGACTCTGTCTCTTCCTGGCAGACAGAAATCCCGCAGCTTTTCACAGCTGGACGTTATGTGAGTGCCTCTTCCCAGCTCTGATGCTCTGGGCTGTGAGCCCAGCTTGGGGTTTAGGCCCCATGCTTCTGAGGGGAATCCTTCACAGTGGAGAGAACTTCAGCCTCCACCTGTGGGAGCAGAGCCAGCCTTTTTTGCATCTCTGCCCTTCCTACCAGTCTCGATGTGGCTTCTTCTGTAAATCCTTGTTTATTCCTCTTCAGCTAGCCTTCAGTTGGTGATTCAGGATGATTTTTCTTTAATTTAGTTGTAATTACAGTT